TGGAATTAAATGCAATTTGTTTGAATTCTCAAACAAATTAAGAACTACATTAGATTTTTATTGACTGAACGCAAGCGCTTATTGTGATAGAAAACACTTTAACGGTTTCCACTGATTAAGAAATATTTTTGTTTGCTTGGGTGGTAATATTATGCCTATTATATTAATAGGGAAGGGGGGCCCAAAAATTTGTTTTGCCTATGTCACGAAAAGAGGTAAATCCTGACCGGCCCTGGTCATACGCCAGTATATATTGACAAGTGTTTCACCTACACTTGATGCTTAAACTACTGTTTTGGTGCTACTGTAAGCCAAATATGTAAGAATGTGTTAGAATATGTTAAAATGGTTTTCAGAACAGCATAACCTGGTTTTAATTTTTGCTACAGCAGGTCAGACGTACAGGACAGGGATCATGGAATATTTCAACATGCATGATTTACAAAAACCAACAGAAGAGTTTTTTGATGATGACAATACAACAGTCTGCAAGCTCAAACTCATCGGGCCTTTCACTTTTTATGACAAAGGTAATTTAATTTCATTCATTTATTGAACACTATTAGGGTAAATGTCTAGGGAATATTTCACCCCCATAACAAATAAAAAAAAATATTTTGCCCAGAATAAATGCAGTCTATTTTAAATACAATTTAAGATCTTACATTTTTTTATCACGATGAAAAAAAAAAGTAAATACCCCCTATATAGTGTGGGGAAAAAATAGATATAATATTGTGTATAGTACATGGTATTGGTATTTTTTCTTTTATTTTGCATCACAATAATGGGAATTTTGAAGGAAATCTGATTAACTGTCATGAAAATAATGGCACAATGCAAAAAAAAAAACAAACAAAAAAAATTTTAACGGTTTCCACTGATTAAGAAATATTTTTGTTTGCTTGGGTGGTAATATTATGCCTATTATATTAATAGGGAAGGGGGGCCCAAAAATTTGTTTTGCCTATGTCACGAAAAGAGGTAAATCCTGACCGGCCCTGGTCATACGCCAGTATATATTGACAAGTGTTTCACCTACACTTGATGCTTAAACTACTGTTTTGGTGCTACTGTAAGCCAAATATGTAAGAATGTGTTAGAATATGTTAAAATGGTTTTCAGAACAGCATAACCTGGTTTTAATTTTTGCTACAGCAGGTCAGACGTACAGGACAGGGATCATGGAATATTTCAACATGCATGATTTACAAAAACCAACAGAAGAGTTTTTTGATGATGACAATACAACAGTCTGCAAGCTCAAACTCATCGGGCCTTTCACTTTTTATGACAAAGGTAATTTAATTTCATTCATTTATTGAACACTATTAGGGTAAATGTCTAGGGAATATTTCACCCCCATAACAAATAAAAAAATATATTTTGCCCAGAATAAATGCAGTCTATTTTAAATACAATTTAAGATCTTACATTTTTTTATCACAATGAAAAAAAAAAGTAAATACCCCCTATATAGTGTGGGGAAAAAATAGATATAATATTGTGTATAGTACATGGTATTGGTATTTTTTCTTTTATTTTGCATCACAATAATGGGAATTTTGAAGGAAATCTGATTAACTGTCATGAAAATAATGGCACAATGCAAAAAAAAAAACAAACAAAAAAAATTCTTTATGCAAAATATAACTTCCTTATATATAAAAGTCATATATATTCTTTTAATTTTGGGATGAAATATGACCCATATTTCATTGTGACATGCACCCATTTACGATCTTGTGTTTTCATTTCTTACATTTCTTAGATGGCTCCACCAAGAAGAAACTGGCGGAGCAACAGGCAGCTAAAGTTGCTCTGCAGCATCTGTCAGGGATCCTCAACTTTACTCCAATATCAGATACTGAGAAGAACTTCAAAGGTGTTCTGAAGGAGTATCTAGAGACGCTGGGTCTCAAAAATCCTGTTTATGAAGAGTATAAAGCAGAGGCCAGTGAAGAGCCTGTCACCAGCGGTATGAGCACAAAGCTTTCAAACTGTGTTTAACTTGAAAGAAATTAGGAAAAATCCTTGTATCTACTCTATGACATATCAAATTTTGGAAAGTAAGGGTTTTCTTTTCGTCTGACTATTTCTGCAGTATCTATCAATCAGGAAGCAGTAAAAGAGCATTTAGACCTGAAGTCTGAAAGCATCTCCAAATCAGCACAGCTCCCATCAGGCCAGGAACCAGTCCGTGTTCCTGTTCCTGTGCAGCCGGACCCTCCAGACTCCAGCTCTCCAGCCTCACAGAGGAAAAAGCCCAAGATTGATTGTCCAGGTAGTGAGCATGTAAGAAGAAAGATGATGTGCTATTGCAGGGGACACCAGTAGGGAGCGCTAGTGGTGCACTGTAAAAATAAAATAAGTTTAAGTTAGTTGTTGCAACTGTGCTTTCATCTACTTGTACATCTTTGTGTATTTTACAGAAATCGATGAGCTGGTGAATGTATATAATCTCAAGCCACCACACATGAATGTGGAGAACTTGAAATATGATCAGAATGTCAAATGTACTGTGACAGTCAACCTGGAAAAATATACTTGTGCAAACAAACAAGGCTACGACTCCAAGAAAGAAGCCATTCGAAAAGCCTACCTGTTATTCGGCCGTGCAGTGGGAATTCTGGATCCTAGCTCAGGTATATATTTGTGTATTTATGTATTCATATATAAATATACCAGTACATTTATGTTCTTTAACTAATGCTTATTTCTTTACCTCTAATTCAAGATGAAAAGACGTGCAGTGCTCTGGTGAAGCAGCACTTTTCTCAGAAGTCTCTTATTCTTCCTCAGGAAGATGTTGAAGGATCTGTAAAGCCATTTTACTGCTCACTAAAAAACATAACTTACGATGTGAAGTATGATGGACAAGGTTAGTATGAGCGTCTGAAGAAACAAGAGTTTGCACTCAACAGAATCAAGTGTAATTTTGGGGTCAATGATGATTAAGAGTGTCCAAAATAAAGAAAATCTTTTAAAAAGTCTACACACTACCATTCAGTATAATTAATAATGTATTTTATGTTTTGAAAGTAATGAATACTTTTATTCAGCAAGGATGCATTAAATTCAAAGGTGGCGCAGTAAAGACATTTAAATGTTACAATGTCTATTTCAAATAAATGCTGTTTGTTTGAACTTTCTATTAAAAATGTATCACGGTTTCCACAAAAATATTAAGCAGCACAAGTGTTTTCAACATTGATAATAAGAACTCCAAATCAGGATATTAGAATGATTTCTGAAGGATCATGTGACACTGCAGACTGGAGTAATGATGCTGAAAATTCCAATTTTACAATATACTGAAATAGAAAATGGTTATTTTAAATTGTAACAATATTTCACAATATTACTATTATTACTGTCATTTTGATCAAATAAGTGCAGCTTTAATGAGCAGAAGAGACGTCTTTCAATAACATTAAAAATACTGTACCATTTAAATACCATTTTAATTGTAGTGTTTTAAGTTTTCTTTTTTATCATAATTCATAAATATCATTATGTTTTTGTTTTTTGGTTGATATTTTAAAACATGAACCCTGACACACAGTCAAATTCATTTATTTTAATTCTAAACCCCTTCTTAAAGCTATATATTCTTTCTTTAACTGGAAACAGAAATGCAACAAAAAACATGTAATATCTATATGAATGTTCAAATATGATATGGTCTTTTTTAGGGTCTTCAGAAGGTGAAGCCAAGTTACAAGCTCTCCAGAATGCCTTACATGCACTATCACCTCTCTTTGACTATGCTTCACTACCGGGAGCGGATAGTCCTGATGAGGTGCAGAATCAGCTGAGCTCCATGCTGAACGGGGCCGGTCAGAAAGAGCCTGTCATTGACCTGAAATTTGAGGAACGAGCCTGTATCCAGCTGTCTTTCTGCGACTATACGCTGAAGTGCACATGCCAAAGCTCCAAGAGAGCAGCTCGAAATCATCTGAGTGAACGTATACTGGGTCTGCTGGGGGTAAAGACAGGTCAGAGCCACTGAAGACCAGCCAGTTTGTCTTTCTTAATGTACATTATTTATTACATTTATGTACATTACATATATTTATTCTATTCTGAACTTCTTACAGCAGATAACAATGCATCTTTGAGAAACAGTTTAGATGTGTGGTTCAGAAAGCAGAATCTGCCACAGCCAGTATTTGAGGACATAGAAGAGGCGCTTGGAGCAAAGGCTACTTTCTCTGTTCAGTTAAGCTGCTGCAGTCCAGGTGAGCTCACATACACACTGACAAAATAATAAATGTTCAATAAAGATTTAATGTTATATATATATATATATATATATATTTAATAACAAATATATGTATAAATAATACATTGTAAATACAGTACTGTTCAAAAGTTTGGAGTCTGTAAGATTTTGTAATGTTTCTGAAAGTCTTTTATGCTCACCATGACTGCATTTATCTGATCAAATACAGTTTATGATTAAATAGAATAAATCAGTAATTTTGTGAAATATTATTAAAATGTAAAAGACCTGTTTTCTATGTGAATATATTTTAAAATGTAATTTATTCCTGTGATGCAAAGTTGAATTTTCAGCATCATTACTCCAGTCTTCAGGGTCACATGATCCTTCAGAAATCATTCTGATATGCTGATTTGCTGCTCATTTCTTCTTATCATCATTGTTGATAACAGTTGTGCTGCTTAATATTTTTGTGGAAACCATGATACATTTTTAGGATTCCTTGATGACCAGAAAGTTAAAAAGAAAAGCATTTTTTTAAAATTAAAATCTACACTGTAAATATCTTTGCTGTTACATTTGATCAATTTAATGCATCCATGCTGAATAAAAGTGTTCATTTCTTTAAAATTATTACTGACCCCACAACTTTAGAATGGTAGTATAATTTAAAAATAATTCATTATAAATGTTACAGTTTTATTAATATTAATAATCAGAGTAAACAGTTCTTCTGTCAAGTTGGAAATATTTGTGTGTAATAATTAAAATATTACAGTTGGTTACAAGTTGGTTGTTTGATTTCTAGGCTGGGAAGACAGCTGGAAAACTGCAAAGTCGAAGCTGCTTCAAGAGCTCAAGCTCAGATTTCGATTTCTCAATGACAAAAACAATTGAAATTGATTTTAGCTGGAAAAAAAAAAATCTACCCAAATTGCACTATTGGTCTGCATGCCCTAGTCACCTACTGTACCTTGACTTGTCCTGGTGAAGATTTTCAAACCTGGCTTGCCATTTTATCTGTTTTAAGGTGTTGTTGTTGTTGTTGTTTTTTTAAATACAGATATTTACATTCTTAAATGTACATTTATTTTTACAATTTTACATTTCCCTGGGATTTAAATCAATGGCCATGGCACTGAATGAAACTAGATGTATTTTAAAGATTTTAAAGATTCATACCAAAGGTATACCAACTAAACCCTTTTAACATCAGCAGAAAATTACAAATCAACAAAATGTAATTGTATCGAATGGAAAACCTGAAGTTTCATTCCTTTTCCAAAAGGCACTGATATTGCACTGACTGAAATTCAGATTCAGGGGTTTGTTGTCTTTGCTGGAAAACTAATTTTAATCTACTACTGTGCATATGATTTAATGAGATGAGCTACATTTTTAACAGTTTGGTTGGTGAAGTGAATTTATTAATTCCACACTTGAATGCAGAGCCATTTTACAGTATTGACATTTACTTGTGTTGGAAAATTACCAGTATGCTGCAGATCTTCATAGGCTTACGAGAGAAACTGAGTGGTACAATGTGAATTTTGTACACCAGCTTGTCATTACCTTTATTAAACGTTTTTGGTTAATATTGCCCTTGAACTGTTGATTGTGCAATTTGAAACCTCTTTACAATGAACTACAAAAACTGTTTACAAAAAGCTATACTTTATCAAATACAGTGAGGACAGAAAATGCATTATTGATTTAATAGTAATGCAATTCATTTTGACTGTATTACAGTTCATAATCTACAAATAAAATAAATTATTTTTCAAATCAGTATTTCATGTCCACATTTTCTTTGAAATGGTAAGCAGCCATATAATATGCAGGATAATGTACAGTAAGCCAGTCATTATCATAAAATAACCCCCTTCATTTTGAAAAAATGACAGCTTATGGTTAAATCTGTGAAATCTAGGGGCTGAATACTCCTATAAAAGATGTTGCAAAGATGATAATTCACAATAAATACCAAAAACCCAATGTTAGCATTAATAGGCTGTTGAATTATGGCCAGTTTTGCCCAGACAGTTTTAAGTGTAATGAAATCCTTAAACTTGTTTTTTACCACAACCTAAGGAGAGAAAAACACACACATTCTTTTTGACACAATAGTGAACAGTAGAGACTGTGCAGTGGAACTCACTGATGTCTTCACAGACATTTTCAACATCTCGCTAAGTCAGGCTGTTGTCCCCACATGCTTCAAAGCTACCACCATCATTCCAGTCCCGAAGAAGCTGTCTCCATCCTGCTTCAATGACTACCGTCCAGTTGCACTTACTCCTATTCTCATGAAGTGCTTTGAACGGCTAGTCATGCAACACATCAAGTCTGCCCAGGGTGAGCAGCACCAAGTTCCTGGGTGTGCACATCACAGAGGACCTCTCCTGGACTGACAACACTGCAGCACTGGCCAAGAAAGCACAGCAGCGTCTCTACTTCCTCCGCAAACTGAGAAGAGCCAGAGCCCCGGCCCCCATCATGTGCACCTTCTACAGAGGCACCATCGAGAGCATTCTGACGAGCTGCATCATTATATCTGCACTGTTTGTTTATTTCACTGGTTTGCACTCTATCTGCCATATGCCTTGTGCTGCTTTATTTATCTTTTTTTTTACATGTCCTTATTTGTATAGTTGTATTTTATATATATTTAATCTTTATTTATCTGTATTTTTACGTTATACTGTTAGTGTTATCTGTATGCACCAAGGGTCTGAGAGTAATGCAATTTCAATTCTCTGTATGTATGTGCTGCACATGTGGAGGAATTGACAATAAAACAGACTTTGACTTTGAAGTGTTGTTCAATGAACTGACCACTAGATGTCAATGAAGCGCTACAGTGAAGGAATTCATCTCAGGTTTTACTTCAACAGGATGTTCTTTCTGGATGTTCTTCACACCCAGACCTTGTCAACTTCACACACCAGCTTCATCCAAACATACAACCTACTGTCTACTGCTCATATTCCTCAAGTGATAATCACTGTGAGGAGTAATTACAATGCACAAACATTTTTTTGCACAACATTTTTTTTGCGCACAGACCAGTCTAGCAGACTTTTTCGTTTATTTTCCGTACGTCAGCCGTTACAACCCATCATACCAATAATTTTTTATCTTTACAAGAATACCAAAATCATGTAATGAGCAAGTCTGCGTTTATTAGACAGCTTAATATCGTGTCAGTTTGTGCTTTCAGAATCATCAAATCTGCTGCAGTCGTTCCATCACATCTGGAGCGGAGGACCTGAAACCGGAAGTTGGTCACCACCAATTAACACGGTCACCAGATAAACCATAACACCGGACAGCGTGTTACATCTGCCAGGCTTCCAGCTGTTCAGAGCGGATCACAATGCAGAATCAACAGGGAAATTGCATGGGACATGCTTTTACATCAACGAAAGGTGGTGTACAGATGTAACAGCGTTAAAAAAGATGTGCTGTCCCGATCTAGAAGTGCTCTTCATCAACTCATTCATTCTCGTAAGTGTTTACAGTCCTCAGCAAGTGTGTGTGAACGCTGGCTTATCAGATCACAGACACAGAACAACAACACCCAGACTCCGTTATAATCATTCTCGGGGATTTTAATAAAGCAAATCTCTCCCGTGAACTGCCAAAATACAGACAGCATGTTACATGTACTACCAGAGTCAGTAATATACTGGACCACTGTTACACCACAATAAAGGATGCATATCACTCTCTCCCACGGGCAGCTTTGGGGCTCTTTGATCACTGCCTGGTTCATCTTATACCGACCTACAGGCAGAAACTTAAATATGCTAAGCCTGTTGTAAGGACTGTAAAGAGATGGACCAACAAAAACAGAGCAGGCATTACAAGCCTGCTTCGACTACTGATTGGAGTGTTTTTGAAGCTGCTGCCACCGATCTGGACTAGCTCACAGATTCTGTAACATCATATATCAAAGGGGTATTCAATTAAAGAGGTCGAGTTTCTATATTTCCTTCCCAGCGGAGGTCTGGACTATATATATATATATACATACAGGTGCATCTCAATAAATTAGAATGTCGTGGAAAAGTTAAGAAAAAAACCTAAACAGTCAAGATAGTCATCAAAAATGAGGATATTGGGTCCTCGGAGCCAAAGGGCAGTGGCATCTGAGAATTTTTCTATGAAAAGAAAAAAAAACTATTTCATCAGTTTAACACAATTGGATATGAATATTAAAAGGTAAGATCAGATGTTTTATCAAGTTATTATTATGTTTACATTTAGATACATATGTAAAGCAGAAGGCCATGTGACAGCTTGTTGTTTGAACCGCTCCATTGCTTTGACGCGCTGCTCACTTTATCTAGAAATGGTAAAATGGTGCCTCCGTTGTGCCGCGGTGGTCCGCCATTTGAATATGCCTGATATATCAGTTTCCTATATCCTGCTGCCCTAACATCTGTGGTCATGAAGTCGTTTGAAAGACTGGTGTTGGCTTATCTGAAGGACATCACTGGACCCCTGCAGTTTGCTTAACTAGCAAACAGGTCTGTGGATCATGCAGTCAACATGGGACTGCACCTCATCCTGCAACATCTAGACAAACCAGGGACTTATGTGAGGATCCTGTTTGTGGACTTCAGTTCGGCCTTGAACACCATCATCCCAACACTCCTCCAGACCAAACTAACCCAGCTCTCTGTTCCTAGCTCTATCTGTCAATTGATCACCATCTTTCTGACAGATTGGCAACAGCTAGTGAGACTGAGGAAATTCATGTCAAACAGCCGCACCATCCGCACCGGCGCCCCCCAGGGATGTGTGCTCTCCCCACTGCTCTTCTCCCTACACCAACGACTGCACCTCTACTGACCCCTCTGTCAAGCTCCTGAAGTTTGCAGACGACACTACAGTCATCAGCTTCATCCAGGATGGTCACGAGTCTGCTTATAAAAGTGAGGTTGAGCAGCTGGCTGTCTGGTGCAGTTAAAACAACCTGGAGCTGAACACGCTCAAAACAGTGGAGATGATCGTGGACTTCAGGAGAAATCCCCCTGCTCTCCCCCCACTTACCATCATGAACAGCATTGTGGCTACAGTGGAGTCATTCAGGTTTCTGGGCACCACCCTCTCTCAGGACCTAAAGTGGAACAATCATATTGACTCGTTAAAATTTTGTTAATTGTTAAAAAGGCCCAACAGAGATAGTACTTCCTTCAAGGGCTGTCAAAAAAAAATTAGAATTTCGAATATTCGTCGAATTTAAAATAAAAATCCACATTCGAATGCAAAAACGTTGCATTCGAATTTTAGGTGTGCGTTAAGGAGGAAGCCTTATCAGTGGCGCACGGGATGCGATGACGATGTAAGTGTCGTTGCATTATAATGTTTTTGTTAGCCTATCCAGTTGTAGCCACTAGATGCGGCGCTGCTGCGTTGTTCATTCAAAATATTGCGGAAAAAGAGAACATTAATGCGGAGAAGATCTTGTTTACATCAAAACTGAAACCAAGTCGTTCACACAGAACACATATTTCGCGCATTTTCTAGAGGGACATCTATCACCGTTGCACTCGCATCTCGCACAAAGGAGCGGCATGTTTAGAAAGCTACAAAAATCAGCTACAAAATCAGACATTAGAAGACTACAGAGGACTGTTCCGACGGCTGAAAAGATTATTGGTTATCAGTTTTCATTTTAGTTCAAGTCTAATTTTTATTAGCTTTTTAAAAAAAATATTTCTACATAGCTTAATTTCAATGTAACTTAATTTTTTTCAGTTTTAGTTTTAGTAATTTTAGTACTTGAGCTTAAAATTACTAAATTTTAGTAAGTTGGCAAGGCAACATTTCTATTGCAAGTTTTTTAAGTTTAAATTTTTTAATCGAACATTTAGATTTTATTTTACCTTTATTTTAATTACTTCAAAACAATTGTGGTGTTTCTTACATAAAACGATCAAATGACTTCTGAAGACGTCTCCTTTCACTTCAGTTCTATGAAATTGAGCATCTTTCACATTCTGCTAAATATCTCATTTTGTGTACTACAAAAGTAATCATAAGAATGATTAAATGATGACAGAATTTTCTTTTTTTTTTTTGGTGATCTATCCCATTAAATCACCTGTTTTGTATCAGGTAATGTACTGAAACCTGGTCTTTTTTCCCCCCATCTCTGATGTTCTGCCATCACAATTTTTGCCCCTTCCAAGACATAAAGCTGTGAAACAGACCTCCAAACTAGTTCATCGGTTTTTTATAGGACCATCAGGGTGGGCGAAGACTTCGGGAGGTGGGCCAAGCTCATGAATGGAGCCAAACCTGGATGATACTGTCTAGGCCAACCATATATATTCCCTGCAAAGCTCTCAAATGCACTGTACCACTGCGGATATACTATGGTAACCGTACACCTCCTCACACTGTATTTGTACTTTGCTGACTGAGAGCAAATCCCCCGCCCCGCCCGGCCGTTACTGTTACATAAGAATATGCAACCTAACCATAGTCCTTGATCTGTCTGTGGTGCCAAATACTGTTGAAGTATGCAATTTTCATGTTTTGCAAGCTGAGAAGGGGGACTTCCTTTGGGTCTTTATTCCTTCCCCTGTGTGGGTAACAAAATCAGATAAATACCGACAGGAATGCACCATTGAATGTTCAGAAATGCCAAAACAAGTCCTTTCAAAGAAAAAAACTATTATCATATTTGAAAGGAAATAGTAAAGCTGTAGGAATGTGTTTTAATGTGTGAAAACACGCAT